GGGTTCAGACTTGCTATCTTCCTGCCTCAGTCTCCTAGAGTTCTGGGATTACAGGTATGCACCACCCTGCCTGGCAACTTTGCCTAATATTAATAAAATCATCCCAGCTTTGTTGTGATTAGAATTAGTGACACACATATGTCCTCATTTTCAAAGTGGGTTTCTTATAGGCAGGATATGGTTGCGTCTTGCTTTTGAAAAATTCAATCTCTGGTAATCTCAAGGCTTTTTGTTGTATTTAGATATTTTAAATTTAATGTGATTATTTATATGATTCATTAATATTCTACCACCTCATTATGGTTTCTGTTTGTTCTATCTGTTCTTTATTTCCTTTTTTAAATCCTTTCTTTTGAGTTGATTATTTTTTGTTTCCAATTCTCCTTTTTAATGTCTTATCAGGTGTAACTTAGGTTATTTTATTTATTTTTTTGAGTGTGTATAGTCTTTACCTTGTCACAGTCTGCCTTCGAGTAATATTATTCTATTTGATGTGGGTTTTTTTGGGGGGGGGTACCAGAGATCGAACTCAGGACCTTGCACTTGTTAGGCAGGCACAGTGCCACTGTGCTAAATCCCCAGCCCTGATGTGTATTTTAAGAATCCAAAGGGCCGGGGATTTAGCTCAGTGGTGCCGCCACCTGCCTTCCAAGTGCAAGGTCCCAAGTTCGACCCCTGGTACCAAAAAAAAAAAAAAAAGAATCTAAAATAGTTGTGTACTTATATTTTTCTCCTACCCACCTTCTTTTTGTTTGTTTTATTTTTTGTTTTTTGAGACAGGGTCTCACTGTATAGTTCCAGCTGGCCTTGAACTCACTGTGTAGTCTAGGCTGGCCTCAAATTCACTGTGATACTCTTGCCTCGGCCTCCTGAGTGCTGGGATCACAGGCATGTGCCACCACATCCATCACCTACCATAGCACTTTGAGCTGGTGTTTTTAGTATTTTCTCCTCAGCACTTTTTTTTTAATGAATTGGTTACAATTTTGTGTACTGTTCCTGTTTTGTGTGCTTGGGATTTGCTCATATCTTGGATCTATGGGTTCATAGTTTTCATTGACTATGGAAAATTTTTACCATTTCTTTAAATACTGTTTCCATCTTCTCTTTTCCTTTTCTTTTATGGACTCTGTTATATGTTGTACAACTCACTGATATGATGTCATTATTTGTCTTTTTTCTATTTTATTTTGTATAGTGGTATACATGTTCACAGATTTTTTTTGATTTTTTTTCAATATCTAATCTGCTGTTAATCCTATCTAGTGTATTTTTCATTTCAGATATTATAGTTGTCATTTCTAGACATTTGATTTGGTCTGTTTTATCTTTCACGTCTGTACTTAATTCAGTCTTCTAGTTTTTGAATATATGAACTAGTTCAACTATAAATTATGCAGTTGTATGGTGTGGTATTGAATTATGTATTATGCATTGAATTATAATGTCTAATGTCTGAGTACTAATTCTGTCATCTGTGCCATTTATTGGTTTCTTTCAATTGATTTTTCTCTTCATTGTGGCTCCTATTTTGCAGCTTTTTTGAATATTATTATTTTTTTGTTTGTTTTGTTTTTGGTACTGGGGATTGAACTCGGGTCCTTGCACTTGCGGGGCAGGCGGCAGAACCACTGAGCTAGATCCCTGGCCCTTGAATATTATTTTTTATTGGATTCCAGATATAAATTTTACCTTGCAGGGTGCTTGGATATTTTTGTATTAGTATAACTGTTTGTGAGTACTGATTTTTTTCCTCCTGGTACTGGGGATCGAACTCAGGACCTTGTGGTTTCCAGGCAGGCACAGTGCCACTGAGTTACATCCCCGGCCCTGAGTATTGTTTTGTTTTTTTTTTTGTACCAGGGTTCGAACTCGGGTCCTTGCACCTGCGCAGCAGGCGGCGAAACCACTGAACTAAATCCCAGGCCCGTAAAATTTACTTTGATAGAGTGTAACACGTCATTAGCAGTTTTTTTTGTGTGTGTATTTGTTTTTTTCTTTTGGTACTGGGGATCAAACTCAAGACCTTGTGCTTGCGAGAAAGGGGGCAGAACCACTGAGCTAAATCCCTGGCCGAGTATTGGTTTTTAACATGGTGAAATTAATTGGAGATATTTTGGTCCTTTCTGGTTTTGCTTTTAACTTGTTTCAGGAGTAGTGTTTACATAATTTCTTTCTATTACGGTACAGACAGAAAACCTTTTAGGACCCAGTGCTGTGTAAGTGATGTGGTTTTGCATTCTGGCTGATTGGGTCAGAATCCATTTCCAGCTTTGGTGAGGTTTGGGGATTGTTTCTTTTAATCCTTTGGCTGGTTTTTGCTCTTGTTTGGTTTTGGCCTCAAGTGGTTTTGTAACCCGCAGGTGCTGATCATGACCAATGTTCACTTGAAGACTTCAGGGTTCATCCTCTGCAGATCTTTATTTTTTAAATTAATTTTGTGGGGTGCTGGGGATTGAATCCAGGGCCTTACATATGCTAGATGTGCACTCTACCACTCAGATACACCCATAGCACAAATTTTGTTTACAATTTTTTTTTCTTTTTTTTTGTTACCAGGGATTGAACTCAGGACCTTGCCCTTGTGAGGCAGGCGGCAGCACCACTGAGCTAAATCCCTGGCCCTGTTTGTTTTAATTTTTGAGACAAGGTCTTGCTATGTAGTTCAGGCTGGCCTTCAACTCACTAGGTAGCCAGGTTGGCCTCAAACTCACAGTGATCCTCCTGCCTCAGCCTCCAGAGTGCTGGGATTACAGGTGTGCACCACCATGCCTGGCTCATTTTTCATTCTTACTTATATTTATGTAAGACATAGTCATGATTCAAAATAACACATTATTAAGGTTTAAATG